AATACAAGGCTCAGGCATGAACGTTGCAGAAACAGTGGAGGTTGTTAGCAATGGAGGGACGAACCAATCAGATTCCAATACAGGCTCGAGAAACAATCCAATTGTTATAGACAATAATTTGAAAGCCAATAATTCCTTTCGATTCTGTAAAATTCCAGAATCAAAAAAATTAGTTTTGCATTCCAAATCTGAAATTCCTGAAAATACTGCAGTCTCCAGTGCAAATATCGAATCTAAAAAATGTGAAACTTCTGTTACCCATGGCGAACCGAAAGCAGAAATATTAGGAACGCCACCGTTATTTGATTCTGAAAAAGAAATGGTTGATTCTCAAGTGGACTATAACACAGAAAATAAATCATCGTCCATCCGAAAACCCCTCTTTAAAAAAAAATCTGGGATTAACCCTGAATTGAAAAATAAGGAAAATTCAGAAAGTTTACAGGAGGAAGATCTTTTTGATTCTGAGTTAAAATCCGTCCCTGCAACAAGAAATACTCGAAGAGGCCGAGGTAGATTGTCTCTTTCTAATGTTAAAACAGACACTGAGGTAAAAAATGAAGTAAAAGTAGGAAAGAAGACAAAACCAGAGAATAAAACTGAAGTAAAAGTAGAGGAAAGTGTTTTAGAAAAAGCGAAAGTAGAACCTGAAAGTGTGGATAATTTGAGTATTAGAAGAAGTAGTAGAATGAAGAGAAGACGGTCCAGTGGTAATGTCCGTCATGCTGCAAAAAAGAAAAGTAAAGGTGTTGAGTTTTTAGAAGACACTGATGAAGATTCTCCTATTAAAAAACAGGTAAAATTATCATTTTCATCAAATCATCATATTCATCAAATTATCATATTCATCAAATTATCATATTCAACCAATGATCCATCCCATCAAATTATCATACTCATCAAATTATCATATTCATTAAATGATCCATCCCATCAAATTATCCCTCTCAAATCATCCTTTCCATCCAATCATCCTTCCCATCCAATCAACCTTCCCATTCCCATCCAATCATCCTTTCCATCCAATCATCTTTTCCATCCAATCATCATTCCCATCAAATCATTGCTCCCATCAAATCATTGCTGCATCAAATCATAATTCCCATTAAATCATCATTCTCATCAAATCGTCATGCCCATCCAAACATTATTCCCATTAAATCATTCTCATCAAATTGTCATGCTCATCAAATCATTATACATGTACATGTACCAATCAATTCATCACTACCATCAAATTCTCATTCCCATCAATTCACAAAGTGACTATATTTTATGTTACAGAAGAGTGATGATATAAAGACAGTCGATATTACTTGCTGTGGTTGTGGTCTTCATTTATTAAACAATATAACTGGTTAGTCTTGTCTATCTATTATTTACTAAACAATATAACTGGTTAGTTTCGTCTATTATTTACTAAACAATATAACTGGTTAGTCTCGTCTATTATTTACTAAACAATATAACTGGTTAGTCTATTATTCTATATATCTGGTGGCAGGCTGATTGGTCCAAGACTTGTCATATATACAAAATGAAGCGACTGGGATAATGAAGACGTGCATACTGCATACACCATTCAGTGTGCTGTGAGGGATCTCTAGTTTAGCGAGCCAATGTCTTACTTGCTGAGCCACTGTGTAGTATCAGTTTCCACCTGGCAACGTGCCACCAAAGTTACCACAGAGTACCAAAGGCACCACTATGCCACCAAAATTGCCACCCAGTACCAATAGCGCCACATGCCACCAAAGTTCCCAATGACATTACAGTCCTCACATGCCATTGAGTGCCCAGCAACATTGCCACCAGTCTCAATGTACCCCTCTAGTTCCCAGTCCAGTACCACTACAGTTACATGCCACGTCAGTCCACATCTCATCTTTCACCGTTCCTCACACTAGCCTTGTCGCACATAATTGAAATGTTTCTTATTTTTGTTAGATCATGAAAGGAGAATGCGGGTTCCACCTTTTTTTCCGATGACCGATGGCTGTAAAAACTGTGAAATTATATTTGTACCTAAATCGGAGGAGAGTGATACTTTAAAACCTTTATCTACACAGCTTGGTACAGGTAAAACACATTTCGCAGATTTATTAGCTGGTCTCCAAAAATTCCACATTCTGATTCTGTCATACATACGAATAATCCGATCTGTATCTGATCAGGCACCACAGTGTCTTAATTTTCAAGGATGATTTCCCTAGTCGAGGGCAAGGATGCAGGGCCAAGATGTAATGCATTATATTTAGAAATGAAATGAAATGGGGTTTAATGTCCTACTGTTCTGCTCCGAACTGGGCTAATGAAGACGGGCATACGCCATACAGTGTGCTATGAGGGAAATTTTACCCGGGCAGCGGTACTACAGCCTACTCTTATATCGAATTCCAACTGTTAAGGGATCATTTACGTGCACGTCAATGTGTACACGGGACCTCAGTTTTTCGTCCCATCCGAACGACTAGACAGCTGTCCTTGTCAGGCCCTCCATCCTGCATCACTGACAAGGGGGAACCATGCCGGAAAATCTGGATGAACTTTCCCGGCCAATGCAGGGATGGAACACCCGACATCTAGGCTAACGAGCTTGCGTCTTACCCACTCAGCCACCGTGACCCCCCCCATTATATGTAGAGGTATAATAATAATTCCAGGGGGACTGCACTACACACAATTACCCAAGACAAACTGACAGACAGGATACAATATACAGACACCTCAAGCAACAAACGTACATATCAGATCACATGAATGGATTCGGGGGCTAGCATCAATTGTACAAATAGGATGATAATGTTTATTTTTTTTTCCCGCCAACTGGAATATTTTATCTGCCAAAAATGTGTGATAAAAAAGACAAACATGCAACAATTTTATTTCTCAGTAGGGCCTATTATAAAACAATTACTGATATAATTACAATATGCAACAACTTAAAAAATCTTTCTTTACATAATACATTAGCCCAGTTTTGAGATAATTTACTCAGATCACATTTTTCTATTTGTTGGCTTTAGTCTATATGTACACTGTATTGCACAATTTATTTTCAGTATTTACACATTAATTCTCATCCAAGGATAGCCAGTTTTCTAACACTTTATGTTTTGCGTGTACAATAGGCCTATTGTTATTTTCAGGTACTGTAAAGGTATCAGAATCTGAATCCCTGATATAAATTTCAATCTTATTTGTAAGAGATTCTAAAAATTGTACTCGTCATTCACTTTAGAGCATTTTGGCGGCCCTAATATGAAGCAAATGGTATACCATTTTCTCGCTCGAGAATCGTCGCTATTTGACACGTACTTACTTTTCCGACCAATGGTGATAATATAATTTGAAATAAAAATATCCGATTAGGCATGCTTGCATATTTTACATACCGTATAAAGCCACAGTAAACGGAATTCAACTATCAAAATATTTAATTCTCTTTGGAAAGAACTGTCGGTCATTTTGATTGTTTCCATTTTTTTTGTTGTAAGATGAAAGGAAACATCAAATAATCACCACTTGGATTAATTATTAGGAGTAAATAATGACTTGAGATAAGTTTTACATATACTGTTGGCAAATATCAATAATCATTAATCCAAGACAATTGTTAAGTATTACTCATTGACACGATCCCGATTGATTAACATATAGTATGCCGCCACATGATTGACACTTAATGTAATGGTTAATCTATATAGGATATATACGATCAGAATTTTAAGATCTTTTGCCACCAGTTCTCAAAAAGAATCGCCAGTACCCTAAAATTTTATCGGCAAAATCAAATTTTAATCGCCACTTCCATATTTTTATCGCAAATTGCGATTTTGGCGTTGGACAGTGTGAGCCCTGGTCCAATGCACTGTACTGAAGTGATACAGGCTTCACTCAGAATGAAAAACTAATAATAAGGGACGCAACTCAAGAAAAAGGGAAGTATATTATGTAGTATATTGTTTTTATAGGCCAACAGTTGAATAGTTTATGGTGTAAAGAAGAGAAAGTCTGTGTAGAATTTTTAACGTGTATAAATTGTTATCCTGCTGGTAGTACGCAACAGACGTTTGGTTGTCAGGTAGTTTACAATGATCCACAATCATCCTATCATGTTGGTCAGGTAATTATTATAAAACTGTAAAACAGTATGTCGTTTTATTCCGAGGATATAGATTACATCAGGAATAGCCTGTAAAGTAGGTGAGAGGGGCTTGGGTAACCGAATGGATTAACGTGTTAGTCCCAAAATGACCCACTTTGTGTTCGGTGGACATTAAACCCTATTTTTCTCTCTCTTAAAGTACATATAGGCAGTGATATTTTTCTTATCTTAACATTGAGGCACCACCATTACAAATTCCAAGTGTCAATCACTCTTTACTAGATACTGTTCATTGGTGGGGGGTTGGATGGCCGATGGTTTGTGCGTGTGCGCTGTATCGTAAGATCTATCAATGAGTCAACTGGCAAGGTTTCGATTCCCCGGTTGTACGTGGCAAGGAGTAGGGTCGTCTGTGGGTTTTCTCCGGGTCCTACGGTTTCCTCCCACTGCTAAACACCTCTACACAGAAGTGAATTATTGAAATAAAATTGAACCATATTATGTTAGACCTAGTTTGTGTTGAGTGGACATTAAACTCCATTTCTCTCTCTCACTGTTCATTGCCAGGTCCTCCCCCCCTGAAACACCAACAACCAGAAACCATGCTGAGACTTTCTCGACCAGTACCTCCTGGTTGGCCAGGATCTTACTCACACAGCCACCCCTGTTCCAACACTAAGGGAAAAACACACTGGGAAATGCCAGTGTCTCACTAAGTCAGAGAGGCTCTCTTAAGGCAATGACAAAGAGCCTCAACTAGTTGTATATTAAGAAGAAATAGCCAATATACATCAATTTCTATCATTTAACTGTGTAATAGTTTTGTGTTATTTTGTATTTTTTCAGATGTGGTTATTGTCAGATAAAATCAAGCTAACGAACGATACATAAAGAAACAGTTTATTGTTTAACATTATCAATAAATAATTATTACATAAAAACATTGACCCAGCATAATGACATATTCACAGCATGGGTGTCTATACAATGTACATTTGTTTATGATGATCTTAAAGCTTTTTGTACCATTAGACCATAAGGTGCGATTGCGATTCCCAGCTTGCACTTGTACGTGACAAGGAGTAAGGTCGTTGGTCCAACCTTGTGAGTTTTATCCCCACCACTGCGAAAGGCCAAGCAAATTATTGAAAATGAAATTGAACCATAACCCAAAATTAGAGTTAGTTTGTGTCGAATGGACATTAAACCCTATTTCGCTCTGTCTCTCTCTTTGCATAAATTTTTGATAAACCCTAACATGGGCCATGTTTACTGATTAATTGAATGAAACTATTAATAAAAAGGTGCTTGTCAAAAAACACTCCTAGATCAAAATTCGAGATCTCCAAGTTCTCCATGGAAGTCAATCCAGCACCTTCAAACGCAATAATTGAGACATGTCTTGATTTTAGGCATACACGCAAGCACATAAGGCACCTGTCACAAACATTGTCAAACACAAATTCAGGTTTCGTCTCCTGAAGCAATGGCCCGAGAAATCCCTCTCTACCCATTGCTGGATTGGCATCTGATACTTGAGCTTTTGAGGAAGTGTGTCTATTCTTCCCATTCAATCAAATCTATCCCAAGTACAGCAACATGACAGCCCTTTGTTTAATCTGGGGGTCTTCCCTAAAACTTTGGACAGTGATTTAAGGTATTAAAAAATGGTGAAAGTCTTGTTCATCTCCATACAGTATTGTTTACATTGTATCAGAGTTGATAGCCTTGTTTGTCACACAATTAGTTTTTCTGAAATATTCCACTACGCACTGTTTAATTGGGCATAATAGAAAAATGCGAGTCATGACGTAACGTTATGTAAACATATTTGGTCCAATGTGGAGCTATGTTTAAAGCATAATCATATTGTTAGGCAGTTAGCTATTGGTTGTTAATTGGACTATTGACCAGTCATAATTTGGAACGAAAATTTGCTTCCATTAAAGCAGTGTTTAGTGGGATTAGCTCTTAATCAAACGAAACACGGCAGGGAATATGTGTGATAATTTCCTTTGTCCAGACTTAGTATATATATATACATGTTTTGTGATAATTTGTGTCTGACAATGTCTATAACAGTGCCTTACGTCCAAGCTTACATACATGTTTGATAGAATGTTATTAAAGCATATTGTTAAGATTTTCTCTATAAAAATTTGTTTTTCTTTATCATGTTATACATATAGTATAATTGTAAATGCCAAATATAATTAATTAGTGCTTATTAATTGATTTCATTTATGTAGATTTTTTACATAAATAAAAGGAATATACGAAAAGTGATTCTTGTCTTGTGTACAAAGCCATCAGACTGGGACTTTCTATACCTGATAGGTTTTTTTCTTTAGTTGGAAAATACTGATTAACTCCAAAAATCCCTTCAGGGGATCTTAAGCTGCCATATTCCAATTACAGAATTGATTCCTAACAATAAATAAAAGTAACACTACAAGATAGAGTTTCCGGAAAAAACAATTTCTGGTCATTTCGATATCTGTCCATACCTCTCAATTAGCAGGAACAATTATTGTTGGGAGCTCGGAGAGGTCAGACATTCCCATGTGGGTCATACACCGTAAAGCTTGGGGGGGGGGGGGGTAGGTTTCCATATTCCAGTATTCTCTATACACAAATTTTCTATATGGAAATAAACAACACTGGAGAGGTCAGATATTCCCATGTGGGTATACGCCCTAAGGCTTGAGGTAGGTTTCCATACGGAAATAAACACCACCATTATTATTGAATCCAAACTGGCTAACAGAAGATATTGTTTATCATGATTTAAACTGGACTTGACCTCAGAATACTATCACGATATTTTAAAATTTTTCAACTTCTGTGCCTGATACTTTAGCCTTCTGTTAGATTAATGTCTTGGTTCATCATCTGTTAGATGGTGGTGATGATATTAATGTCTTGGTTCATCATCTGTTAGATGGTGGTGATGATATTAATGTCTTGGTTCATCATCTGTTAGATGGTGGTGATGATATTAATGTCCTGGATCATCATCTAATTCTTCATCAGGAGCACACTAAAATAACCAGAATAACTCCATTATATCATGGGTGGTATCATTATCATAGAGAAATATTCTATTTGTATTGGGTTGAAGATTTCAGAATCTGTTTACCGACTCAAGTATGCAACAGCTGAATAGATTACATGATTCAAAAGTAACAATGTCTCTGTCACATCTTTTGGAACATAATAATGATGCTTCTAATTGAGGTAGAATGGGCAAACTTGGGTGTAATAATTAACTTATTGTAATTGAGCCGAAAATAGACCGATTTATGATATCCATAGGCCAGTTCATTGTTTTATCAATCGACTTTTTCAAACATCAAGTGTCTGAAGCCCACTAAAAACAGCCATTACCTTGACTAGTACGTTCAATAATGGGCATTTTTTGCACAGTTTAAACAGAGTGATAAGCAATTTGATAGGTGATAATCGTTAATACAGAACATGGTTTAATATTTGTGAAAACAGCTATTGTCACATTTTTTATGATTTGAAAGTCTAGTGGTGCTCTGAAAAACTCAAAAGGTAGAGGTACTTACGTAAAACTCTACGAAGCAAACTTGATTATCTTCATTTTTAATCATATATTGAAGCGAGAGGAAACCACGATTATCAGTTCGTATTGAAATACGTGTTGATAGACCTAAAGCTTTCACAGTTGGCTTTAATAAGGAGATTTTATATCTGTAAGAAATAATGAATGAATGGAGTTTAACATCCTATTCTGCACCAGCCAGGCTAATGAAGACGGAAATTCACCATACAGTGTGCTATCAGAGGAAAGTGGGGGTTGGGTGACCGAATGGTCAACGCGTGTGCGTTGGATCATAAGGTCTGCCATTGAATCAAGTGGCATGGTTTCGATTCCCCGCTTGTACGTGACAAGGAGTAGGGTCACCTATCTAACCAGGGGATTTCTCCGGGTCCTGGTTTCCTCCCACTGCTAAATACCCCTACGCACAAGCCCAGACAGAAATTGAATTCCAACTTTCTAGGGTTCTTTAAATTGGACCTAGGGTTTTTTTTTATGTCCCATCCAAACAACTAGACACAGTTTCTTGTCAGGCTCTTCAAATTGCACCACTTACAGAGAAACAATGGGGAAAATCCAGAGAAACTTTCTCACCAACCGGAATCGAACCCCAGACCTAATGATTTAAGTGAGCCAACACCTTGCTCCAATACAACATATATATGATACACAGACACACTCCTACAAGCCTTAAACATATAGAATAGCAAAGGTAAAACAACATACAAGGTTGTATTTCATGTCCCATCCTAACAACTAGACACTTTTCAATCCCAGACAGACACAATATCAATAAGAAGATGACCTACCTGTTTGTTTGTGTTTTTGTACATTGAAATGATTCAACCATATCAGATTCTTTAGAAAAATCAGACTGAAAAATAACAAAATGTAATCCTTCCCTCATTTTATTCTCATGTAAAAACATTCAAATATATATATAAATATCATGAATATTCATGTTAACAGTAGAACATTCTACAAGATTTCTTATCACACTAATATCCAACCTCATGGGTTTTCTCTTAGTCCTTCGGTTTCCTCCCACTACGCAAAAGCAAATTATTGATATAAAATTGAACTAATTACACTAATAAGGTTCATGGGAAGTCAGAAAGTCAAGTCTGGGAATCTATCAATTTTCAAATTTGGATTCCCCTCATAGATGGCACAGGACATGCGCCTAATGGAGTGTACCCAAAAAATTGAGTTTACAGCTAGTTACAGAAACCTTGACAGTTTTCATATCAAGAAAATAGTAGACAGCCCAGTGAGTGCATGGCGTATAACTGTCTTCATTAGCGTGGTTGGTGTAGCAAGACATAAACCCCATTTAATATTATTTCAAACCTAAATAGCCAATATATGCCCCTTATTTGTCCTCTGTATTGTGAGGATTTAAAATTCACCCCAACCCTAACCCCAGTAACCCTATATAAAAATACCTGTGTGCTGCCTGAATTACCAAAAGTCGAGAGTTGAAAATACGGGGCATCTGGAGACATTAATATCTGTAATATTTCACTGGTCATATCTAATTCACTAAATACTTCTTTTAAACATTCTGACTAAAATATAAATAAACATTTTGAACAATTTTAATTAATCAGTTTTTTCATGTTGTAGCATTGAAACCTTTCAATAGGTGGGCCTTTGTCATAGGCATAGGGGGCCAATTTCTGTTGGTGGGGTTAAGGCTATTTGTTCGAAAATTTTCCTTGTCATCTGAATTTTCAGAATAAATCAATCATTAACAAAAACGCATCTTCTACAAAGCTGTGAGGGTTGTTTACTTTAAATTAATTACCCAATAATATGAATTTACAATATATTAAGTAAAAAACAATTTAATGTTCCCCATTCTTTGATGTTTGAGTGCGAAAAACGGAAATACATTGCCTGAAAAATGGACGGTTCACCGAATCTGGTGGGTGCTGCATGGCCTTTGTATTGTGGCACTTATCAGCAAAAGTAGAAGAATGTTTTGCACCTAATCCTTCTACTATAGCTACAGGAAATTACAAATGGAACTTGTTTTGTTTTTTTCACAAGCCAAATAAAATCTGTATAATTCTAACCTTCATTATGATTTTATTGATTACATTTGTGCTACAGAAATCAAAGTCCAGCACCTCATCTGGTTCTAAAGTTTTAATACTACAATCAGTTACAACACTGTCTTCTTCTAATCTGTAAACATGGAAAAGGTGATTTTCAGATTTTGAGATTATAACTACATGTATACATTTGATTTTGAATTAGAACTCACCATTCTTCTTACAAAACTTTTTAAGAATCTAAATCGGATGAAAAGTTTTGTCATTCACAAGATTATAGAAAGTAAAACAACTTGAGAAATATAAACACAAATTAACTAAACATGCATTATGCAAGAGCTAAATCTGATTATTGCAAGTCTTAATTTAGGCTTCAGATGTTATAGAAATTATAAATTAGATCTTTATTTAAACAACAAGACCAAAATCAACTCTGTAGACCCACGGATGGCTCGGCTACAGCTCAGATTTAAATAGGATTTCACTAATTGATTAAATCAAATAAGGGTTAACCTGATGAAAATACGTCAGTTAGATCGAGGCTAAATGATAGAGTGTACTTAGCGAGGCCGCTGTAAAGCGTTTCCGTATGCCACTGAAAACTTTACTTGATAATCGAGATATGTAGGTGGAGTTAACGCCTGTCAATCAAACGTTCAGCGAAGGTGAAGACACATTTCGCTACCATTTCTAGGCAAATATTACAACGATGATAACTATGTTCAGAATAAAGTAATTTGACTGATTTTTTCAATATATTCTTCTTTCATCATCTACTTTTGAACTGTTATAGCAAGAATGGCCAACTCTCTATAAAAATCTCCCATAATGTATCTTTAAGTTTGAGAATGCTTTGTGTAACATAATACATAAACTCGTTTTATTAGAAATATACTTTAATGCTGGATAACATATTTACAGGTACATATGGTAAAATCTATCTGGCTCTTGTCCCTAGGTCTGCGATGACCTTATTTCCGGGGTCCAAGGGCAGACCCCTTGCCTCATGGTCTGAGGATAAGTTCTCTACGTCTCTCTCTGCCCTCGTCTTCTCTTGTTTTCCAAACTAGGCTTATTTATATCGGCTATGGTATGCCATAGTTAATACCATTAGTAATCAGAACAATGAGACTTAATTATTAAGATTCACACATCCTATCTCTAGACAATATGTGTTAATGCTTGTTACCTAAATCTTATATCATAATATACTTGTCGGCTAAACATTGTTTGAACAACCCATCACATCTTACATAATACTATGTCATCAATCCCCACACATACAAATTAAATCTAACATGTACATGTACAACAAATAGTGCAATTGCTTACATTGAATGTAAAATAAACCATTATCAAAATACCCAACAGTATTTTGTAACATTTGTGAACTCGGGGTCAGATCCTGTATTCAATCTTGGTGTTAGCCGAGAATGTTCATCAGGATTTTCCAGCGTTGTTCCCCCTCATCAGTGGTGCAGGATGAAGGGCCTGGCAAGGGACAACTTATACTCATTCAGATGGGATGGAAAATCAAGTTCCTGTGTACATGTAAAAGAACCCTTGACAGTTGGAATTTAAAATAAAAGTAGTGTCGCTGTTCGGACCAAACTTAACTCATAGCACACTGTGACTGTATGGGGTATGGCGGAGCAGAACAGTAAGATGCTAAACTCCATTTTAATTTGTATTTCATGACTACCTGGGGTTTAGAATGAAACGTGATAAAGTATAAAATTACGTACATGAGTAATAATGGCTGACCGTAACCAGCATAACACATCTTTAAACTAGTAGTGACACCTGGTACACTACTGTTACCAAATATAGTCAAACATTCCTGTAAAAATAAAACAACATTTTATATAATCAATAGATAGTGGTAAAATAACAGATTTAAACAATATATAAAAAATGTTTTCCAGCAAATACTTTAAAAGAAATGAAATGGGGCGTCAACCTCGTGGGTTTTCTCCGGGCCCTCAAGTTCCCTCCCACTGCTAAAGACCCCTACACTCAAGCGAATTGTTGAAATAAAATTGAACCATGTGTTGGTCCCAAAATGACCTAGTTTGTGTCGAGTGGAGTGGACGTTAAACTCCATTTCTCTCTCTCTCTTAAACTATTGGTATGTATTATCTCCCTAAGAAAGATCTTCTGGGAAGATTTAGATCTTTAAATATAATGGTACAATAGGAAGTTGTTGAAAGTGTTAAAACTTACCAATAAAACCGTAAGATTTATCTTAAAGATGGTCTGTTCTTCCTTGATGGTAAATTCATGAAAAATGGCTTCCTGTATAAAGGCATTGGCTTGAACACACTTAGCATCTTCTGTTGTGACCTTTAACCCCATCGGACTGGCAAAAATTGTAGCTGTCTGTAAAGATCATTTAAGTTTAGGAAGTGAAGACAGACAAAATAATTTTATGCTGAGAACTTTGGTTTTTGACCATAAAGCACAAGAAATTTAAAATATATTTGAAAATTGGTATAATGTAAAAAAACTGTCATGTTCATTGAAAGAGAGAGAGAGAGAAATGGGGTTTAACGTCCACTCGACACAAACTAGGTCATTTCGGGACTAACATATTGTTCAATCCTTTTTCAATAATTCGCTTGCGCGTAGGGGTCTTTAGCAGTGGGAGGAAACCGAAGAACCCGGAGAAAACGCACGAGGTTGGACAGGCGACCCTACTCCTTGTCACGTACAACCGGGGATTCGAAACCACGCCAGTTGACTCAATGACAGACTTAATGATACAGCGCACACGTGCTAACCACTAAGCCATCCAACCCCCCTGTTCGTTGAAAACATCTGAGGTGAACAAAATACATCATAATTGGACCGACTGACAAGATTTTAAAGTGAGAACCCTGGTATGACGGTCCTCATATTGTTTATTTTTATAAATTATTCAAATTACCAGTATCTAGTTTCTTTCTGTCTATATATTTTCTTTTTTTCATTTTGAGTGAAGCCTCTAGCAGATGCTTACGGCTGGCTCCTGGATCCATTCACTTGAATTTATATTTGAAATTGTTGTTGATATTTTGCGATGCCTGTGCAGTTCGTCTTGTCGACAGGTTTGTCTTATTGGTTTTGTGAATATGCAATTGGAATCATGCGGTTTTTCGCATTTTATTAGTGTGCACTGCTGTCCAAACTAGGTCATTTCGGGACTAACACATGGTTCAATTTTATTTCAAGAATTCGCATGTGCGTAGGGGTCTTTAGCAGTGGGAGGAAACCGGAGGACCTGGAGAAAACCCACGAGGTTGGACAGGCGACCCTACTCCTTGTCACGTACAACCGGGGAATCGAAACCCCGCCAGTTGACTCAATGACAGACCGTATGATACCACGTGCGCGTGCTAACCATTTGGCCACCCAACCCCCCCACACTGGTTGAGAATCATTGCTCTAGACCAAAAGACTTAGCCATCTCAACATTCTTGCACCTGGTAATATGTAAAACATCTATTTAATTAAGATTGCACGAATAACATCACTTAAAATACAAAAAAAACCCTCAATCATTGTTTTCTTCTGACTTGAGTCAAGACCGAGTGGCTTTCATCATGGACCTTATAGTTATAATTTTATAAGGTCCATGCTTTCATTCATTACACTTCTTTATTTATTTATTTTATTCAGACAGATATTTCTTTTGACACATGATATTTATACTTACATCTTTAAAATGAATGGCTTTGAGTATTGTTGAAACATGTCTGGCGTTGTCTAATTTAGCGACCATTAAATACTGGCTGTCATTATCAGCTTGTTGTGTCGACAAACTCATTTTTACACCTTATTTCAACTCTCTCAACGAGTAAGTTCACTTTTTGCCGCCATGTTAGGATTTTTAGATCAATTGTAACTTTATTAATAAAAGTTTACCAAAGGGAAATAATCCTCAAAGAATAGCAGACGATTTTGCATGCAATGGCCTGTTCAAACGAAATGAGGCGTGAAAATTAGGCCAATTCCTAATAAGTAATACATTCTCCGTGGTGACTAAATATAAATATAGCAGACTTATGTGGGTCCCGGTTTTCTATACGGTACGGTAAGTTGAAAAATAATGTTATTACTAATTGCGACAAAGCAGGTAACAGTAAGAAAAGAAAAGACAAAAAAAAAAAAAAAAATGAAAAACTAATTAAAAGTTCTTAATTGATTAATTTTTTAATTACATTTTTTAAATTTGTCTTCTAAAACAGCAGAAATTCTGTGGTGCCCCCCTCTCGTGATACCCTTTTTTGCATAATGATTAGACTTGACTGATCATTGGGATTGGCAGGGTAAAAGAGGCTGATGCCTAGAGTCCGGGCTCCGAAGGGGTCCGGCGATTTGGTGACAATTGAAGACCCATTTTTGCCAAAACCCGTGACGGAGGGCCTGACAAGGACAGCTGTCTAGTCGTTCAGATGGGACGAAAAACAGAGGTCTCGTGTATACATTGAGTGCGCATAAAAGATCAATTGGCAGTTGGAATTCGATATTATAAGAGTAGGTCATAGTGCCGCTGCCCGGACAAAATTTTCCCCCATAGCACTCTAGGCTATATGATGTATGCCCGTCTTCATTAGCCCAGTAGGACGTTAAACCCCATTTAATTTCATTTCCAAAACCCGTGAAACAAAGTGGCCTTTTTTTATATGAGTTTTTTTTATTTAATTAGTAGGTAGGAGGATTAAAAGGGGCATCATCAGTCAGAAAAAATTGATATCAATGATTCAACGCTGGGTGGGTTGGCAGCGGGAAGTTGACATTAGAAATATTTCCATATCCCGAAACCCGAAATAGTATTTCTGGTTGACAGGTAGCGGTCTTGTTAATTGTCCAATATTTCCGCCGGGCCCTGGTTTCTTAACCATCCGGCTCGCGCGACAACAAGAATTGCGAACTGATGTCATCGGACCCGGACTGGACCGTGTGTGCCAATGTGCCAATGTCACTTGTGGCCCCCTGGCAGTGACCCCCCTTCCCACTGGCCCATCTCTACGATAGGTTTTTCTGGGTGAAATAAACTGTTGATGGTTAAGAAAATTTGGGACCCTATAGACCATTTTGACGAGGATTTTTTTAGGGGCTCTTTTTTTTAGACAAGTGACCTTTTGTTTGGTCATCCCCTTTCAGAGCCTAATAGTTAGTGGGTCCCCTGCTGGCCCTGGCATATGGGCCTATAACAGTTTTCGCCTTCAGTGCTGCGATCATCTTTCCAGCAGCCAATGATGTAGGATAACGAATGTAATAGGTATACCTTCTAGGGCTATGACATCGCATTGACCGTGACTATATGTTTCACCATTTTAGTTTGTTTTGTTTAGGTTCTGATATCTTTTTTTTTTAACTAGGGCTCTGCTTGGAATCAAATAAGTGGGTCTAAGGTTGTCTTTTATTCACCGTAGTGGGGATATACTCCACAGACCACCATTTCAGGTTGAAATTTCAAAACATTTCAAGGGAGTAAACCCCTGGACCCCTCAACCGCGGGAAGAGCCCCCCCCCCCCCCATCTTGTCACTGGAGCCCGGCAGCTAGGGACCGGCGACCTCATGATCCATCACTGTTAATGGTTATGCCTAATCAAGCCCTCTGCACTTGGTCAGAGGAAGCGTCTGTTTGGAGACCGTTCCGAGGCGACATTAATAACTGTATATAGGCTACATCTGCAACGTTTTGCATAAAATAATAGGAGTGAAAAACTCACAAACAGATTAATGTTCATGTAGGCTACATGTAATTATTTACGTGAGACTTAATGCTGTTTTTTCTTTGGGGTAAGAAATTCAACAATTTAAATCCAACAAATGATACGTTTAATATAGGCTACTACAGAGAGATTAGTTCTTAAAATAACTTTGTGCAATTAAATTGAAGAATAGCCTACGGCAGGCATATTTACTTATGGTTTGTATTCTGGACACATTGATGGTGTAATCTTGTGAAAAAAAAGAAAAATATTCTTAATTGAATGTCCATTTTCAACATTTAATAAATTCAGATCCACAAAAGGTTTTTAGAATTATAGATAGGCTATTATGTTGATGCTGAATGTTTTAGCTTATTTATCCTCTCTGGGTAAACAGTGAACAGGATGTATGTATCTTATGTGATTTATAAAACAAAAATTAGTTTGCAATGAATGAAATGGATAACGTCTAGTCTACCGGGATATAATGAAGACGGGCATATGCCATACAATGTACTATAGGGAGATTTTGCCCGAACAGCGATTGAATTTACGCGCACACCAATATGTACACGGGACTCCGGTTTTCGCTCTTTTCGAGCGGATAGACGCCGCTCTATGTCAGACCATTTGCTCCTTTCCTCGGGCATGCAAGGGGAAACCACGATAGAAAATCCCAAGGAACTTTCTCGTCAGCAGCGGGATCGAACCCGCGGCCTCATAGTTAGCTGGCCACCGCCTTACTCACTGGACCACACATGCATGAAATATCACCCTCGGGGGAAGCGAACGCTACATCAGTTGTTTGGGTTTACTGCTAGCTTATGACCTTTCATATGAGTTTTTGGACACGTAACCTAATTTATATTCGTAATACCCAAGACTTTATTCAATCTGATTAAAATACAGATCTATATTTCGTTTCGTTTTTTTTATATACTTTCGATGGCCTTACACTACATGAAGATCTGACCAGTTGTATTGTAAGGTCGCGTCAGGGGTCGTACAAGCGGATTTAACCCTATGACGTCATCCATTGATTAATCAACCAACGTTGACGTTTCTAGTGGTTTACCCACAGTTTCGTGCATCGCACGCCAAAAAGTCGCCGTAACAAATGGTTTCATTGGCTAATCCCTCACGCTATCCAGAACGCAGGTTATATAAAAACTCTTCTAGATCCTAGTGTAGTACAGACAAATAAAACGATATTCCGAACTATAAAAAACGAAACGAAATAGGATCTGTGTTTTAATCAGATTGGACTTTATTGATTGCACCCGAACCACTAGAAGCTATACCTTAAGTCTACTGGAAAGGGGAAACCTCCCTGGATAATTCCGATAAAATCTTTCGGCCAAACCAGATTTCTTAGTTAATCAGCCATAATCAGTCAATACTCGCTGAGACTCCGCCCCTCCAAACAAGCGGGTGTGGATATTAAATCTCTCGGAAATTTCTTGTGCCCTATCTCTGGGTCCCATCCCTATAACGGTTTCAGCTCACCCATAACAAGCTGTGAAGGGAAAAAAGAGAGAGAGAGAAATGGGGTTTAACGTCCACTCGACACAGACTAGGACATTTCGGGACTAGAAAGGATAAAAGACTAACACCATTTCATATTAATTTTAATCACAGTTTAAAAGATAATTCAAAAAATATAAAAGAGTCATGCTTGACTGCTTAACCAATGAAGTTTTTAAAAAATATAAACATTTCAGTACATAGTTGTAGGAGTTGCAGTAGCTGGGGGTTTGACAGCTGCGTCCACATTAGTGATATCGCAGATACTATAAATATATGAGTATTAATCCAGTTTTAGGGTAAAGGGATGGTATCTTTATCTGGTGTTTATAAGAAAATAAAGGTTATAAACCGGGAAGAAAGGAAAACTTGCAGAAGTTGACACAGAACTAAAAGTTAGCACGCTCGTCTCAAAATGACCATAATGGTTCTTTTTTTTGGCATTACAAATTCTTTCCTCGTAATACAAACAGGGCTTATCCGGTTCAGTCTAAATATTAAGGCCACTTGCAGATTTCGTCAAGGTCAAGGGATGTAAACAGTGCTAGCGCTAACCCTAATCCACAATAACCCTGGACGAAATCTGCAGGTAGCCTTTACATTTAGATCTGATCGGGCCAATCCTTTGAACTCAATGCCGAGGGTATCCCTTATTCAAAGCGCAACATCTTGAATCTACAGTATATAGACAATGACAAATAAACTAAACAAATGATAAAATATGGACTAATAATAGATATAAACAAATAATAAATATAAACAAATAATAAATATAGTCAAATATAGACAATGCCTTGACTACGTAAAAGTTTGAAGAACATAATTGCGTTCCAGCTTTAGCGGCAGGTGTTATCACAATGTCCGATAAAAACACTTCTTTATTTTGTCATAGATATATAGGCCTATACCTTCGCAGTCATAGGCACAACAATATGCGCATCACAGATTTTAGAACCAGCTTCTAGTTCAAAGTTGAAAAAGTCACCTTTTTTTAAGTTCACGAATGAATGAGATTAGATACAAATAACAATATTTAAAAGTTGCACACACCAACTGTGCTTAAATTGTACCTAATCGCAATTTGTCGAGTTTAAGTTGTCACTAAATATAGATTAATCTTTCGGTTGCATGGAATGATATTGACGTCTGGTTGTTGTAGATCAGTAGAGAAGTCGTTTACACCCAGCCTGATTTCATCCTCTTGAGTAACTTGTATCACTGATCGACCTGCAATAAATACAATATTATCAAAACGTAACTTAAACATACATTATGCAAGAGCTAAATCTGCCTATAGCAGGTCTTTCTTTAGGCCTGAAATGTTATCTAAATTCTAAATAATCAACTCACGATGAGATATTTACTGGATTAGGAACCGATTTGCTGCCAACTTTTATTCATGATTAAATCATGAAATGGATAATCGAGACTATGTTTTTTTTATATCGTACCGACTTTAGTAATGATGATAGAGGCTAGGCCGAAAATCCAATCGCTAAATTCTCGGTTCAGAGTGGATCAATTTGACTGAAATTTTCAGCAAATTCCCTTTACATTATTTAGTTCTGAACTATTATAGTGAGAACTGTCAGCTATTTATCTAATCTCCGATAATGTATCTTTACCGAAACTT